TAGGATTACTCTTGCCACGTATAAATTGGGTGAGAAATAAAACATTTTACTCGCAGAATCTGGTCGTTGCCTGCCCCTTCGTCACGTCCATTAACTTCTTCTTTGCCAAACTTTTTCTTCCGATTCAATCCCTTCCCTGAGAGAGAAAGGGACAGGAATTTTAGAGAGAAACGGATTTGGGACGCCATGGCTGTTATATTTATCTGTGTTTTAGGTTAAATTGAAATTTCAGAAATGGCGCGTGTCAACAACGAAATTCATCTTGAAATCGAGGAACCCAGTATTGATACAGATAAACTGAGCTACGAGATTTTTTCTCTATTAGAGAGCAAGTTTTTGTTTGGTTACGATGACCAGAAACTTTGGGTTCCCAAACAAATTGATCCTGCAACTGAACAACCCAAAAATGACGTCGTTTTCACCGCCTCATTCGATGACGACGGTGTTCAAGCGGTCAAAAATCAGAGAGGAAAAATCTGCATTTTAAGCATTGATGGTGGTGGAATGAAAAGCATCATATCGGGGAAAGCATTGGCCTATCTGGAAACAGCTTTGAAGAATAAGTCTGGAAATCCAGACGCCAGAATCGCCGATTACTTTGACGTTGCCGCCGGCACCGGCGTCGGTGGGATTTTCACGGCGATGCTCTTTGCCACCAACGATCGGAATCGACCGGTATTTCACGCCGATGAAACGTGGAAATTCCTCGCTGCGAAGGGGAAACAAATCTATCGCTGCTCAAAATCAAATCATCCTAAGGCTAATTTCTTCAAGCGGGCCTTTAATAAAAAAACCACCTCCGGTTTAGAGAAGGCGATGAAGGCGGCTTTCAAAGATGAAAAAACCGGCCGGAATTTAACGCTGACGGACACATTAAAACCGGTTTTGATACCGTGCTACGATCTTTCTAGTACGGCGCCGTTTTTGTTTTCCCGAGCCGACGCTCTGGAATCAAACGGCTACGATTTTAAGCTGTGGGAAGTTTGTTTAGCCACTTCAGCACAGCCGGGTGTGTTCGACCCGGTTTGCATGGAATCAGTTGACGGGTCGACCCGTTGTGTGGCGGTGGACGGCGGGTTGGCGATGAACAATCCGACAGCAGCTGCTATTACGCACGTGCTGCATAACAAACAAGAGTTTCCCTTTGTGAGAGGAGTCGAGGACATTTTAGTACTTTCACTCGGTTCGTGTGGGCAGCTATTGGGAGGGAGCTTTGACTTTGACCAAGGCAAGAAATGGAAGGCCAAGGATTGGGCTCGGCCCTTGGCTCGGATTTCGGGTGATGGTTCTGCCGAGCTGGTTGACCATGCCGTGGCTATGGCGTTTGGCCACTGCCGGAGTGGCAATTATTTTCGAATCCAGGTAAATAGTATTTTAATCTTTACGTTAAATTCGTGGTCCACAATGTGTATACTTTTCGGAAAAAATGTACAGAATTTTTGTTCGCGGAATTTTTACAGCCGGAGCTGATTCAAACAGTTTTCGTTTCCCAACTTCCAATGAATTTTGGTCTAAGTGTTATTGGTGAACCAATTTTGTAAGTGTAGCACTATCCATATTTTTTTTTACAAAAATGTCACCTAACGTGGTGGGTAGGAGTCGATGGCTGGACTAGTCCATCTCAGTGGTCAAGTCTATAATTTTTGACAATTCAGTGTTGAATTATAATAATTTGTGGTGGTGATGGGTTTCCTATCCAGGAGATTATTTCTATATTTCCTATATTGACAGTTGTACAATTTGGAGTTTTTGCTTCCAAATTTGGAAATAAAGTGCTTTAAATGCAAGTCCTTTAAGTATTTGGTTGTATGTCAAATTATGTCGATGGAGTTATGAAAGTTTTTGGGTACAATTTTCAGGGGTATGGACTAATTTCAGCAGGTAGACAATAGAAGTAACGTTGTAATTGTCAAATGCCACCCCAAAATGCTCTGTTCGAAATTGGCATAGGTTATCAAGAAAATAATCTCTGTGTTGATGAAGATTTTTGTTTTGTTCTCTTTCAAACCAAACCACATCTTTGCTCGACTAACTGAATCTTTTTCTTTGTTCCGTTTGGTTGCTTTGTCTATTCGACACACATGAGAATGAAGGTAAAATGTATGTAGGTCATGAATCTTGACAGTTTTCCAACATGGGGGAATATTTTTGGAATCCTGTTTCAATTGATAATAGCTACTTAAAAAACGAGATACATGATTCTACTTGCAGTAGAGAATTTGATTCAGTACCAAATCGTACAAAAATATGCAATTTCTATAATGTTATTTCATGACTCCTGTTAATGATACAGCTTAGATTGTACACTGGAATGGACCAGAAAGTGCTCTGTGATTTTGCCATTCTTGTTTCTTGGCTAAACTTGTTTCGTGTCAACTACATCAATCTTTGTTTTGCCACTCCCCTTTATATTTTCTCCTGTACATTCTAAAGATAAAAATTTTGTATCTATACTCCGAGTGAAAGACCCAGCGGAAGTTGCAGCGAGATCATGTTTTTCATTTTGTTTCGTTCTGGCTAATCTTCAACAAAATAACTAAAACCTCCTGTATAACTGTGGTAGAGCAAATGATTAACAAGAATCCTACTGGATCATATGTTAAAATGAATATGTAATTGAATCCTGCTTGTTTTCATCAAAAACTGAGTTGGGAAACTGTCTCGAGTGTAGTTAAATGATTGCATAAAATTCTATTAAGTTTTCTAATTCTTCAATTTTGTATATAGATGATGAATGCATTTTAACATACACACCAATTGCAGGCAAATGGATCGAGTTTTGGCCATTGTGGGGCGAATGTCGACACAGATCCTAGTCCTAGCAATGTAAAAATGCTAGCTGGAATAGCTGATGAAATGCTTAAACAGAAGAATGTAGAATCCGTTCTCTTTAGTGGTAAGAAGATAGGAGAACAAAGCAATCTTGAGAAACTCGACTTATTTGCTGAACAACTTGTGCTTGAGCAACAGAGGAGGAGTTGCCGAATAGCTCCCACTGTTGC